CTCTCCGGTTTGTTTCCACGGCGTTCGAGCCAGCAGAACAAACCAAAAATAATAAGAAATGTCACGTTTTTCTGCTGAGCATTGATTTCTGTGCTGCTCCTAAGCTGCTCTGTGAAAATACCCGGCCGGAGCCCATTCCCTCAGAGGTTACTCCAGACCAAATCCTCCCAGAACTTGCCTCGAACGCAGCACAAATGACTCATTACAGTCCTAAAAATAACAACGGAGAAATTTCCAACTAAAACGTTGCCTAATTAACCATGAATACTGAGAAGTGTGAGAGGGAGGAAAAAAAAAAAAGAAATAAAAAAAAGAAAAAAGCGATCCCTGAGTTGTTGTGGTGTTCTGCAAGTAAATTTATTACTACTTTCTTCCTGGATGCACTCAATTATATAGGCAGAATATTCCCATTTCCATCCTATATTATAGCAAACCCACCTAGAGATAATAGAACACATGTCCTTTTTATGGCTATATAGAACACATGTTTTTTTTTTAAAGCTGAATGACTTTGACCCAGACAGAAAGCTCCAAAGTACTTTTCATGCCCCCTTTGTATAAGGGAGTATACATAATTCATCCCCAAACCACAATTCAGTTTATTTCATGGTGTTTTTAATAAAAATGACAGAAACCCAAGGCACTGACTTTTCTATCAAATCCTCTTGCAAACAGTTTTCAGGCAGTCCTAGTAGGAAAACCTACACACCATTTTTCCATGAACTGGTAAAACCAATCTCTGTGTTCCTGTGATTTACATTTCAAACTGCAGTTTAAACATACAGCAAAGAAACCAAGACCCAGTTTTATCTCCTTCTCAACCTTTAGATAAATGACTTTGTGACAAGACAGTGAAACTTCAGCCCTGTTTTGTTCCAAAGCTCTGCAGATCTGGCTTTTCACATTTAAGGATCCACACTGGATCTAACACAAGACTCTTTCTTTTCCCCTCCAAGCCAGCTGGGTCCCTCACCCTAATAGAAAGAAGAAGTATCCTGGGACTAAGCAGCCCTATTATTTCTAATGAATGTGCTGAAGTTTCCTTTTTCTGGCTTTGCCAGTCCATCTCACAACAGCTCCTCCAGGAGTCCTGGGGCTTTCTGCCATCGTGAGCCCTTGCAAACCCCCAGGATATGCTCAAACATAGCCTGGGTTCAAAGACTGAGACCCCTTTTCCATCCTGGAAGATCCTTAACCTCACAAGTTACTCAAAAATCTCTTTCCTTCAAACCTGAAGGAAGTGTTGTTTCTACCTGTTGAAACAATTCCCTAAAAGCTTTACAGGGAAAATATCAAAGTGAACTGAGAAAAACTGAAACTTTTTACCTCTTTAACCTCTTCCAAATTCCTGTATTGGCAACAGTTCCTGCTGAATGGGATGGGTCAGACACAGTGGCTTTGATCAAGGACTGACCTGCCATATTCCTTCCCTGTTAATCCCACTGACCTCAGGGGAAATTACACCAGGAATTAATCAACTCCAGAGTCACACCAATCTCTGCTAAAGCCTCATAAGCAGAGCAGCATTTATCATATAAACCTCAGAATCAAAATGCCCCTCCTTAAAGAGAAAATGATAATTAATAGTTTAATTAAGCAGTTTAAGGCTGAGACAAAAATCAACAAAAAAATCCAATTTGAAGTCTACTAAGGCTTATTTAGCTTCTTTGTTGTTGACAAGCAATGCAAATTCACCTTTCTTTGAGCTTTTAATGAAAAGTAAGAGACATGACATACCATGAGTTGCATTGTCTGAACAATCAAGCTAAGTACAGAACACAATGGCAGCACTACTAATTATTCCTCCTTCTGCTAATTTAGAGCCTAACCTTAACATTACTTTGCAATGCCATTTTTACTGAAGGGAATTGCTCTTCAGTTGAATTCCCCTCCAACATGCTGGCACAAATTGTCTTTGCAAAGAAACTGTACTTTTGCCTTTGTGATCCAACACTCTTGAAAGGTTTTAACTAATTCATTACAGTCATAGAGAATGATGTAGAAATAGTAGATTTTCTTTTTCAAGCTCCATTTCAGAATAGAAACACCATTAATTAAAAGACATTTTTGAAACAGCATCCCTTATCTCTTCTTACCACAACCAGCACCCAAGAACAATGTGAACTGAAAGACATTTTTTTTTCCCCAGCATGTTTTCTGCTACTCTTCTCACAAAAAGTGAATTCAAATATTTCACATTAAAGCAACGAGAGAGACTTTTAGCACAAAGAATCTACAAGGAGTGCTGAACTGCAGCAGCCACCAGTGTTTGGAGGCACAATATTGCCCTTCTCTTGGGCACTGCAAAGTCCCAGTTTCCCACTGGAGCAGAAACCAGGCTAAGGCATTCAGAATAGTTTTATATATAATGCACTGAGCTACAAATCCATCAGGTTTGAACAGAGATATCCCAAATTACACACAAAATAAAATTCTACTTGCAGAACCCCTAAAACAATTCAAATAATCTGAATTATTTGGTCCTTACCTTCATTGGAGATTATTTAGGCAATATTTAGGTTTTCTATTTCTCTAATGGAAAATCTTTTCTGTTAAAACCAATCTATTGAGCCAGTCCCTGGAGCAGGGAACATGGCTGGAAGGAAAGTTTGGTTCCAGAAGGTTTCTATAATCTGACCAGCAACTCACTGAAACACTGAAGGCAGAGACCTGGGGAGGTCTCCTGGCCCAGCCTTCTACTCAAAGCACGACAACCACCAGCTCCAGATCAGATCAGCTGCTCAGCCACGTGTCCCACACCCCCTGTGATGGAGAAAGCCCACTTGGGGAACAGGTATTGATTTCCTGGTGTCCACCCTAACCCCCCCAAACTGCAGCGTGTGGCCACAGGTTCTTGTTATTTATCATCTGGCCCTATTGGCAGCAGCAGCCCAGACTCCTCAGCTGCTCTTTGTAGGTGCCCTGAACCATTTTTTATCCCTCTGACAGACCATTTCCAGCTTCCCAGTATCTCTGGTGATATGAAGCACCCAAAACTGGTGCAATATTCCAGCTGTGCTCTCAGTGATGAGGAGAAGGAGAAGGACTTGGCTGAAGGTGGGGATGGCCTTGGCCACACGATGTGATTCACCTTCCTGGCTGTGAGAGCACTCCTGGCACTGAGTGCAGACCTCCCAAGTCTGTTCCAGGTGCTTGGCAAGCAGAGGAGAGCCAAGCCCTGCTGGCAGACAGCAGCTCAGCCACTCTGAGGCTGTCCTTGGTGGTCCCAGGGATGACACAAGGTCTGAGAGCAGGTGAGGAGGATCTGAAGCTCTGCACACAGCCAGCCAGCAAAGTTCAATCTCCTCCTTCAAATCCAGATGTGGTGACACAGCCACAGCCATACCCCAGAGCTAAATACCTCCACAGGTCATTTTCAGCACCAGGATATCTGCCAGGACATTGTTTTGTTCAAGCCAAGTCACCCAGGCTTGTCAGAAAATTTGCAGTGTTTTTGGGTATAGAACCCCTCAATCAATTCTGGCCAGTGAGAAAGAGATTCAGTTAGAAATCTCAAGCTTTTAAATCTTAAATGAGACATTTTGGCATAGCTCCATTTCTTATAGGACAAAAAACCTTCAACATTTTGTGCTCATTCTGATAAGATAAAGAATAATTTTGAATGCACCAAGGTTGCTGCCAAACTAAGTTGTTCTCCTATGGACAATGTGACTCTGTGTAATTTTAGCAAACAATTAAAAGAATGCCAGTGGGTCTACATACAGTTTGGATGTTGAAAAACCCATTAAAGCATGAAATCTGCAGATCTTTCAACAAATGAATAACTGTATGCACAGCCTGTCCCCATACAGTTCATGGCAACAGCTCCAGTGCTTTTCATACCACACATTTTTAGACTATTGAAGCCTTGGTGTTGTGATAATGACACAATTTACAGACAGCAGCCAAGTACTTTGTGAAACAATTTCAAGTGGAACCTTTAAGCCAGTGGATTTATAGTTTCAGAGCCAGTGCAGGTATCAAGTATGGCTCGGGTAAGAACTGCCCTGGCAGGGTCTTATCTCTTAAAAGAACTAAAGCACACAAGCACACCGATTTTCATTACTGGGAGTGAATTCCTCAAGGAAGGGCAATTATGTCATTTAGTACACAAAATTCTCCTGAAGATTTCAATATTGTCTCTTGGGCATACTTCTTTTTGCTGGCAGGAATTTACTGCACGACCTAATTTTCCTTTCAGAGAGAGAGGACTAGTCACACACACCAAAAAAAAAAAAAACAAAAAAACACCAAAAAACTCTCTAGGAAACACATGGTTACACAAAGCAAATGAAGGCATGAAAGGAATTGTTGCCAAGCAGAGGAGAAAGGACAGAATCACCTTTTAGAACTGGAATCAACCAAGAACCTATAAAGAAGAGAGCTGAATAATTCCTTCTTACTCCCAGCACTTCTCTTCCTTGAGAAGTGCCCAATATCTATCATTTTGGTACGCCCTGTGTTGCAGGCTGTGAACTCTTTGGAGTGTGTATCAGCAAAGGAGTCACCCAAAGAGCATCCTGGTCCTTGACTGAACCTCAGCATTCAGTCCCAGCAAGAGCCAGTGATTTCATCAAAGAAATGATAAGCTTTGAGAGACCATCTAAGCTGTAGAGAAACCTATAGCTCCCAACATTTATTTTTTTTTTCCAAACAGCCTTTAAAGAAAACAGTTCTTATCTTGGTCTAATGCCTTCTGAAATTCTGAGATACTTGCTGTTCTGAAAGAGTACTGAAAAAACAACCATCTCACAAAACAGCCAATTGCAGGAGTGAAAAAACAAAGCCTCCTCATTTCCCCCACCCCCATCTTTAAACTCCTGCATGCTCTACCCACCCTCAACAATAAATTGTAGACAGGCAAGATCACAGGACAGATATTTGGCAGCACAGCAATACTATATTTACACCAAATACTTAAGAATTGGGAGGCAGAAATAAGCAGTTGTGTGAACTGCTGCATCTACAGCTTCTTGTGGCTGAATCTTTGTTTTCCTCACCTTTCTTTCTCCACCACGGCCCTTCCTGGATGGAGTAGGACAGTTCTTTGAACTCGATGTTCACAGCTGGCCTGCGGGGCAGGTAGGAGAACCTGTGAGCTTCTGTCAGGGCATTGTCCACTTTTTTTAAGTGTCCATTCATGAGTCGAATGTCCTGGGGGTCTGTGCCATTGGAGACCACCTCGTCCACCGAAACACACACAGACTTTGGCTCGGCCATGGTGCAACCAGAGCTGCTGCCACCCTGCAGGGAAAGGGGAGAGAAGTTCACACACTTTAGGAACACCTATCAAACCCTTCTCCATCACAGGAGTTATTCTTTAAATAGCACAAGAATCTGGCACTGTAATGCACTGAAAGGTGAAAGAGGAGTAAAATAAAGCAATCTTTTGTTTGTTCTTTTTGCCTGAGCCTTGACAGAAGAGGTAAAAGAGCTCTTGCAGCACATACAGTTCCTTTAGCACTAGTTTTCCTTTCAGATCTTGCACCAGATTAATACATTTATAAGTTCAGTCCCCATTGTATTTGGTTTCTCATGCACTCAAGGAATTTGGTTCTAGTTACTCCAGGGCTTGGGACAGAGCTGAAGGGGGAAGGGAGCTGGCTGAACAGTTATTTTTGCAGACATTTCAAAAGACAGCTACTCAAAATGTCTAAGAGCTCCTGTTCCTCTGGGTCAGCCTATGCTTCTGTAAAGGTGATTTCTGAGAATTTCAAATGCACTATTTTGATAGTGATAACTAATGGAAATCTTACCAGGTACATAAACACACAAACCCTGCTCCAGTTCTTGCACCACTGACTCTGTAAGGTCTCCTTCCCCTCCTCTCCTGACCATGGCAATGGCCTTCCACCCACCTTTCTCTTCTTTCTTTATTTTTTTTTAATTATGTATACAAAATCTGGATTTTTTTTCCATTCCTTTTACCAGCACAGGTGTCTTGCACCAATATGAGCAGGATGTGTGTAAGCTCAAAAGGAAAAACAGTCATGAAATTTCTTCAGCTAAACAGAATTTTAGCTGAAGCTGTCATCTGTTGCTTGGTGGATGTCATCAGCAGAGCCAAACATCTGCACAGTTGTCTATTAGGAAATTTAGTATTTTTAATTCAGATTTGTATTGGAAAGGACTTCTGTAGATGGCTTATGTGCCAGGCTTTCCATGCTGACCTCTGCCCAACAATCTACAGAGTTATCTCTTGGAAAGAGATGTGCTGCACTACTTTTCAATGCATGAACACAGAGCTGCAGGTCCTGCCACTGCTCCCCTCTATTTCTCTAATTCAGCTAAGAAGTGACACTGCCTCCTCTTCCCTCTGCCACTTCCATTTCCCTCTCATGGCTCCTGGTCTTTCCCATCTTTGCTGGAACAGCAGCCCAGCTCAGATCGGTCACTTGTCATGAATGCTGACAAAAACATCAAAAAACCTCCAGTCCTACATAATCACTGATGAAAAAAAGTATTCCTGCATAACCACTCCATAGCTGGCATCTTCACATTCCTCAAACACAACTTGGGAGCCCCAAGTTCTGGCTGAAAACAATCAGCTCTGCTCACCACATTTTCTCAAGAAAGAGATTTTAATCGTGCTCTCAACTTACTTAGAGGTCAGGTATCCAGTAACACTTACTGTCAAATTCTTAAAGAGCTGACTGCCACGGTATGTAATTTGAACATAACAAGAGTAATGTGAAACATCTTAGAGCTCAACAATTAAAGCAGGGGAACTTCCCTAAAAACTAAGAGAAGGTGAGTTAACAGCATTCTTCCCTGAATGTTTTCAAGGCTGACTTTGGCACTCAGAATCTGTTTTGTTGTGAGGAACCACTGAGCACCTTCACACAATCAGAGGGAATGCCCAAAAGCTAACTCTCAACGAGCAGGTCACCTTGATTATTCAGGTGACAGCCAGAGCTTCTCCAGTTCAGATCGATCCAAAAGGAAATATCCTTTGGACAAGAGCCTTGCCTCTGACTACTCGATCATCCGAGAGCACGAAGCCAAAGGCTTTTGTTGGTGGGACATTAAACAATTCCAGCCCCTTTGCCTGTTCACACACCTGCCTCCTCCAGAGACCAGCCATGGGTGGGGATGGTCCAACCTCCTCCCCGGCTCGGGATCACCTTCGCTCGGAAAAATCTGGTCAATCCCGCGGCTACGACAGCCACAGACTCGTCCAAGCCGTGTGGAAGGCACAGACACAGCTGAACCCCTCTGCTGCAGCACCTGCCGGGCGCTCCCCGCCCCGCTGCGCCCCCGCTGCTGCCCCAGCCCCGCATCCCGAGCCGCGCAGCCCCGCGCTCACCTCCCAGCGGCTTTCGGCCACTTTGGGCTCTTTCCCATGGAGTTGGATGGAGCCGCTGAGGAGCCGGGCCGCTCCCGGAGCCCGGCGGGGACGGCAGCGCCCGCCCGGTGGGCGCGGGTCTCCAGCCGCGGGCACTGCCCCGGCTGTGAGGGGGAAGACACCGTACAGCCCCCCTCCGCAGGAATCCGCCATGTTAGGGCGGCCNTGGGGATGGGGAGAGCCGAGGGGTCGGGACACCCCCCGGCACCGGCAAAGGTGGGCAGCGTGTCCCCAAGCCGCTGGTGGCCGTGGCTGTCGCTCTGCCCCAACACGCTTGTCCCGGGGACTGGGGCAGCGAAGGTCGCTCGCCGGGACAAAGTGAGGAGGGCAGGCAGCAGTGTCCCCATGCGGGGACAGGCTTCCTGATGGGCTCCCGGAGGTATTCCCTGAGGAAACGGGGAGCAGAAGTATCACCCCATATCGCCTTGTGCCATCCCGTCCTCATGAGGACGAGACAGCTCTTCTGGCCCTGGGGCTCCTGCCCACTGATTCATGAGAAAGCCATTGTAGTTGTGGAACGGAGAGGAAGGAAAGTTGTCACTGAGTTACATTCTCCATGCATTCACTCCTCACACCAATGACCTGCATTTCAGAGAGGTCACACCATCACTAAATCACAGGATGGGTCAGGCTGGAGGGACTGCAGGGGGTCACCAAGTCCAACCTCCCTGCTCAAACAAGGTCATCCCAGAGCACACAGCACAGGATTGTGTCCAGACAGTTCTGGAATATCTTGCTGAGGAAAGAAGTTCTTCCTCATGTTCAGGTGGAACTTCCTGGGCATCATTTCTGCCCATTCCTCTTGTCCCATTTCTGGGCACCACAGAGCAGGGCGTGGTTCATCCTCTGACACCTCTCTTCAGACGCTGAGGTCCTGCAGGTGAAGGGCAGTGGGTGGTGTTCACAGGGCATTAGGGCTGTGTTGGCAGTGCTGGCTCAAACCTGGACCCATGACTCGGCTCCAGGCTGGATTCATTGGCTGTGCTACCTGGGGACACAAAGCTCTGCCCAACCAGTTTGCCAAGAAACCACCAACCATCTGAGTGTTCCCATTCCTGCTGGGGCTGTTTTAGGTGTGTGCTGAGGCTCCCTCTCAATTCCTCTGGTAGCAGCAGAAGGTGGGGATGAAATACAGCAGGGGTCTGAGCACTGGTTTCAAAGCAGCTGCCAAACATGGCATACAGGAGTTCATAATCTGAGAGGAATCTTCTAATCAGGGAGCTTCCCGGAGAGGCTGGAACTCGTGTGGCATTGTAGAGACATGGGATAAGCCTCACAAAGCCCCTGGGAGGCAGGTAAGTATTTTATCCCTGCCAAGCTGCAGCACGGTGCTGCAGGGAGGGAACTGCTGCCCAGAACATCTGGGCCAGGTCAGATGGGGTCCCTGCCCTGCAGAATCCTCCCTCCTGACAGTGGCTGCGAGATGGATGCACAAAGAAGCGCTTCAGCACAGGGCTGGCTTCTATCAAATGTCTCCCTGGTGCTCTCCAGCTGTTCTTGGCTCAAAGAATTCCTGATGTGATTGTCTCTCCAGAATGTGCTAATAACCCTTAGTAGGAATCTCTTCCATGAGGGAAGATTCCCCCTTGGAAACATGCAAAATTTACCATCCACTGCAACCCACTGGCAAGGAATAGTGTGGAGACTCTAAGCTCGGCCTTGGATTCAGTCCTTAGATGTTGTAGAAAGTTATTTACTTGTAACTCATTTATTGGGGAAGAAGTATCTACCTGCTGTGGAATACCACTCAAACATGGATGGGCCCATCCAGAAATTCTCACTGAAGGCTTAAACTGTGTTTGAGTAAACATTTTAAAGACAATTATCACCTAATATTAAGAATAAAGATAATTCATGATGCATTCTTCCAGTGAGGATCCCAGGGTTTCAGTTAACTCAATTCGGAGCATGTGTCTGTAGCACCCACAATTTATTCAAGTTTGTCTCTTAAAATTTCCCTTAGAACATTGTAAAAGCTTCATTATCTCCATTATCTCCATACAGGAGCTGAAAAGGGCTATGAAACACTGATGTGTGTGTGTGTAAGGCATTTACAAGGTAAAAAAAAAAACAAAACAAAACTTAAAAACATCATTATTTTAACTGTGAGGTGGAACTAGAGAGAGAGAGGAACCATACCCTAGTGAATGTGTGATACGCACCCAGCATGATGGTTGCTATCCTCTTTTAACTTCCTAAAGGCTGAGAGAGAAGCAAGGAAAGCAACATAAAAGCTGCAGCAGAACTGAAATGTACAGTCCTGAAATCTGCTGCACAAACCAAGTTTCAGCTCTGTCCATAAGAAGTTTGTGGCACCAAGGTGCTGCCTTCCACGAGAGTTTTTCCTGAGCAAGAGTACACGACCAGATCCCCAGTATTTATTTTTATCATGGTGGCTGCAGTATCAGTATCTACAGGGGCTTCTTGTAAAACACTGAGACATAAAACAGGTTTATCAGAAACCAAGTTCTATTTGGTATTTTGGTATCTATTTTGATACCACACAGGGAAAAAAAAAATCATTACATAAGTTGAAGCATGCTAAAAATAGCAGCCAACTGCATTCCTACATTCCCTCATTAACTCTTCCATTAACTTTGTAGGTGATCCCCTGGTCCCTGCAGACAAAAAAGATCAAGAACACAACTCTGTGTGAAGGGAAAAAAAAAAAAAAAAGTAAAAAAACAAAAAGTAGAGATATAAAACTGTGTTAAAGAAAAAAACCAGGACACAAAAAAAAAAAAATAAAAGGAAATTACAAATGAAGGTGAGGACAGGCAGGCAGGGACAAAACCCTGACTCCTAAAATAGATGAGGAAATAGTAGTAGCTTCCAGGCTTTCCAGCAGGATAAGCATTACAGACACTAGACTGGTGCAGCCCACAGGAAAGAAAAAGAACATTGCAAGCAGAAATGCTCTGGGGAGGGCAGGGAAAAGTGGAAATGCACCAACAGCAAGAGGGGCAGTTGTTCAGCAGAGCCACAGGAGGCATTCTAGTGCAGCACTGACAGCTCTGGTGTCTCTGCAAGAACTAATTCATGTATAGATGTGCTACAGCCTCGGGAAATGCAAAGGCCACTGTGGACCTCACTGCTGGGATACAACATGTGGGAAAAGTCCAGCGAGAAGTGTGGAGGAGGCAGATGGGAAAAAGAAAGTTAGAACTTGTAAAAGGGCAAAATATTTTTAGATGGAATTTTTAATAAAACTCTACCTCAGCTACTTGCAACTTGCTGTTCACTTGAGCCAGTCTGGGTAGAGTTTAAGGAGTTTTCTGGAAAATATTTCAGGATAAATCCTCCTAAAGAGTCAAGCTGAGAGCAAAAATGAACTGCCCACTGTGAAACGCTCATGCAGTTATTTGCCAGAACAAACCCCCAGCAACAAAGTTTTTTTGTGGACAGAGGATCATTTTGCCACTTGAAAACACTGGTTTGGGTTGCTTCTAGGGTATGTTTTCCTGTCTTCTTATGCCCTGCCCTGTGGAGATAGAGCATGGAATGGAATTCCTGCTATTATTATTGATATTAATTATTAATTATTATTAATAACTGCCAGTTATTTCTGTAGGTTTATTTGTTATATAGCAAAATCAAGGTGAGGAAGGCAGGCAGGAAGGCAGGAAGGAAGGCAGGAAGGCAGGAAGGCAGGAAGGCAGGAAGGCAGGAAGGAAGGAAGGCAGGAAGGAAGGCAGGAAGGAAGGCAGGAAGGCAGGAAGGAAGGAAGGAAGGAAGGAAGGAAGGAAGGAAGGAAGGAAAAGCTCTTGTGGCTCTTGCCAATTAATATAATAGGGAAATAAAAGTGGAAAGAACACAAGTTAGAGCAGTGGAAGGATGAGGTTGAGAAAAAAAAAATATGGTTTGATTCTGGTAGCTGTGAGTTCACAGTGGAGAAAAAGGGACAAGAGGAAAGGAAAGCACAGGGAGGGGAGAGAACAAACCAGCAGCTTAGTGAAAGATAATAAAGCAATGAATTTTAACGAAAAGGGAGATTTTGCGGTTTCTCCCAGTTTCGCGGAGAACTGAGGCCGCGGGAGCTGGCTGACTCCCGCTTGCACAGGTCAGACTGTTTGTTTCGCACAGTCCTCATGGATTCTTCCTCCTGCTTCCAGCTTCACTACACCAAAGCTGGGTCACGCTGTCCCCGCGGGTCGGACACGGGGCCAGGGTTGCCCGATGCAGAAACAGCCACCACGTCCACAGCTCGTCCTCTTCCTCGAGCCGCAAGTTTCGAACCCGCGGCCTACGGCAGCGCAGGGTATCCGTACCGAGCGCCCCAACACATTGAGCCAACACTGCAGTCCTGCCGGGAGCCCTGCGGCGGCGTGGTGATTCCTGTGCTCCGGCCTCTGCCCTGCTGGGCCGGGATGTCCCCAGTGTCCCGGGATCCCGATTTCCGTGGGATGTTCCCCAGTGTCCTGTGTGCCCCGTAATCCCGATTTCCGTGGGATGTTCCCCAGTGTCCTGTGTGCCCCGGGATCCCGATTTCCGTGGGATGTTCCCCAGCTCTCCGTGCCAGGCTGGCTGCGCTTCACCTGCTGGCCAAGGGAATGGAGGTGGCTGCCGTGGCACGGCCCCCGGGAGCCTCCGAGGGGAGCCGTGGAGAGGGGACCCGGGCTGGAGCGGGTTCCTGGTGGCACTTGTCACCCTGTGGGGGACCCGGGCTGGAGCGGGTTCCTGGTGGCACTTGTCACCCTGTGGCGGACCCGGGCTGGAGCGGGTTCCTGGTGGCACTTGTCACCCTGTGGGGGACCCGGGCTGGAGCGGGTTCCTGGTGGCACTTGTCACCCTGTGGGGGACCCGGGCTGGAGCAGCCTGGCCTTGGGGGACTGCACGCCGTGGAAGGGTGACCCCCCTGCAGCAGTTTGTGGACAGTCCGAGGGATGGACTCACTGGAGGAATTCCTGGAGGACTCCATGGGCTCGTGTGGGAGAAGGTCGTGTAGAAGCCATGTCCCGTGGGAGGGAAGGACTCCCCTCCCTGAGCAGGGACAGGAGCAGCCTGTGCTGGACTGCCCGAACCCCCATCCCCAGCCCCAGCAGCACTGGAGGAGGAGAGCTGGC